TGGGCTGCTGGATGTCTAATCGATGGTGTGAAGAGCCAAGTCTGATTTTACACTATGATGTAAGTTCAGCTCAGGTTCATACTGTATTTCCTGGACTATAAGAGGCTTTTCTGCCCTCTAGCATGTACAGCAAAGCTACAGTACCTCAGTTATACATTACCATTTTTGCATTAGCCTAAAATTTGTTAGCTTGTTTAATAGTGTTTAGTAGTGCATTATGAATGCTACCTCAGCAGTTACAATACGTAGCTGTTGATAAGTGAAGGCAGAATACACAGTTCAATAATTATCACTCTTGTAAACAAAACACAATTACCATAGCAGCAGAAATCATTAAGTTAAAATGGAACACATATTTCACACATAACAAACATGTGACAAAACATTGCTCAGCAATTTAAAATCTTTCTATTTCAGCAACTTTTTGCTCTTCTATACACACCTTCAAATGTTGCTATTGCTCAATTAAATTCATGTTATGAAAATTGCCTAAATGTACTCACAGTGTAAGGGTAAGGTAATGACTCGTGTAGGGCGATGTTGCTGTACTGTCTCTTCATTTATCTATAGGCTACTGCAGATAAGATTAAGCATCAGTTTTAATGATGTCCAGGGTCAATTGTGAGAAACAATAAACAATAAGGTTAATAAAAATATATAAAAAATGACTTGGTTTGAATAACTTAGGGCACAATATCAGAACCACTTCTTTGTAGCATGGCTGACAAGAATTTGTCAAGCAAGAATTTCATTGTACTTTGTACATGGTTCTTGTACATATGGCAATAAACGTTGTGACGTGACTTGTGTGACTTGAGACAACTAGCTAATGTGCTAATAGCATCGAGATGGGCTAACATCACTAACTGAGCATTTTTCGTAGAAACTCTTTGTTTCTTCCATAGAAGTAAACTTTTCCATCAAGATTTGTTGTAAAAATTGAATGAAGTTTATGTCAGATAGATTTACGGATTTAGCGTTACTTGTCTCATACTTTGTGTCTGCATTATAAGTTAAAACAACGGCATGTATCAAACTGTAGGGAGGTACATTGCCAATGGCTTGGTGGATGACAATCCTGAACTATGGCAAATAAACAGCACAAAAACTAAACTAGACTAGACCCACACCCACATGAGCAACATTAATAAACATTTGAATTGATTCTGTGCTACAACAAATAGCAAAAAGACCATCATTTTTGCGTAGAAAAATGGCATAAAATTGCCAAATCGAGATGTGCCAGGTTGGTAGACTCTTACCCAAAAAGACTGAGTGCTGTATTACAAGCAGAAGGTGCTTTAACAAAGTATTAATCAAGGGGTGTACACACTTGTGCAGCCAGTTTATTTTCCAACTAAAATGTTTCTACTTGTTTTTTCACTTGCATTTTGTTGGTTCTTGTATCACGTTAAAGGTGGAAAAAGATCTGACATGATCTATCTTTGTTTCATTTTTTTACATCACAGAAACCTGCAATTTTAACAAGGGTGTATAAGACTTGTTATACACACTGTAGATAGATAGATAGATAGATAGATAGATAGAGGCATTTTATTTATTATCAAAGAGAACCAGTATGATCTCCATGGGTACTTTGGATAATTAATGGTTCTAGGCATAACAATTTCCACTGAAGAACACTCTGAAAGATATAATGGTTTTTGTCTGTCCCAAAAGGGTCCTTTGCACCTCAAAATTGTTCTTCTTGACTATCCACAATTTATGGATACGACTTTTTGGATAGCTATCTTTGACACGCAGTCTCTTAGGGATTTAGTTGTTCAGCAGCCTAATTAAGAATTAAATTAAATGAACCAGTTACATTTCTTAGATTTGTTCTAAGTTGCTAAAAATAGACTTATTGTCTGTTATCTCTTATTTAGACCAAAATATCAGATAAACAACATAGTTTTTGTAGCTCATAATAATTACAATTGTTAAGTCTTAAAAGTGGCTGTTAATAGTATTAGTATTTGAGTTAATCATATTAACTCAACTTTGAACAGTGTTAATTTTATAAAATAGCCTACTATATTCTGCCAGATGACTGACAGAATTAAGCCTAAGCTTACTCTTACTGCTTTTGCTTTCTGATTTGTGGGTGAGTAGAGACTTACGTAACATCAGCACTGACATTTTCTTCGTAGCTAGTTCTGAAGTAAACCACATATAACTGGAAAGACTATAGGCTATTTAATATGGTAGAAAGGCACAACACAGTGTGTGCCAGTGGTTGCAAGCACTGGATGAGTTGATGAGAAAATGAATTGGTGGAAAACTCTTTTCAGTGCCCAAATTGTCACGTTTAGAAAATCCTTGTAAAGAAAATACATCAAACGCCTTGAACTGTGTGATTAGCATGAGCCTGTTTTTGTTAATTTGTTACACATTGCAGCATGTATAGGATGTGTTTAATCCTTTGAATCAGTGTTGGTTACAGTAGTAAATGCTGTAGGCCTATGTTTCAGTAAAAACCAGATGACACACACCAACTTAAGTTGAGGAATATGTAAAGGACATATGACACTTGGTGCTGAGCAACTTCCTCCTCTTTAATTTTGACAGTTGCTTCCACCAGGGACTCAGACATTTAGAAGTAGGCGTTCTGCTTATGTAGTAACTCTTTATGGCTGTTCAGTTACATCATGTACAGCAGTGAAGGATCTTGACATGATTAGACTCCAGTTCATAATTTGGAGCTCATGCAGATAATATTACTAGGACAGCCTATTTTTAATCTCAGAAATATTGATAAGTGAAGACATATAATGTAGGGAAAGAATGAAAGTTAACATCGCTCAACCCTATTTCAACCCCAAATGTAATGTCAGCCCCCTGTGCAACTGACGCGAAGTCACTGACATAAACTCTCTTATAGCATTCTGTTATATTTATACTACATCCATTAAAAAAAAAAAATTCTGTGATTTTAAAAAGTAATAAAGCAAGAAATATCTGGAAATATTCCAAATAATGCTGAGTCCATTTCCATTTTTGAGCTCTGTTCTCCCATCCTCATTATAAATTTGGTTGAACTGTATAACTTGCAAATTAGTCCTTTTAGAGGAAATATGATTAGGCATGGAAATAGCGAGCATTTAATTAGCATGTTAACTGGAATAACTTCACTATGTCAATTAAATATGCTTTGTTCCTGTTAAAATAAATATGTTGCACACTGCCTTTGGTCATAAAGACATGGCACAATTAAGTCCAGATTTAATCTAACTGGTGATATTGAAAAACAGTAAATAGGCTTGCTGTGTTTTAATTATTTTCTAAGTTATAGCTACAGGATGCTCTTCTTGAGTCACTGCTTGAGTCACTGCTTGAGTCACAAAAAAAAAAAAAAAAAAAAATCAGGGAAAAAGTGACCCCTGGCTGATGACATCAACACCAGAAGAAATGTTCAGGAGAATGTTTATGTGAAAGAAGCTCCCATTGTCTTAACCAAGACCATTATGGTACACCCACTGACACGGAGTACATAACTAATAGCTGTTTTGAGCAGTTCTGACTATGGTTTAATAGTTCTTTTTCCATGGATTTGTTTATAACAAACGTCTTAAGGATAAAGAGACCCTACACACTGGGATCTTTTGCTCACACTTTCATAGACATTTTGCAATAATGATTTGTTTGATTTATACCTTACTTATGCCATGTTCTTTAAATTATTTAGATGCAAGTGGAAACTGATTGTGGGATAGTTGAGTTGCACACGCTGTGTCATGAAGTAGAATGTAGGTTTAACCAGATCGAAAAACAATTCAAGAAGCCATGAGATGTGAGTGAGTGTACAGGAAGCAATGCATCAAGGATGGAACTGCAGATGTATTGAATAATTTTCCAGGGCTAAAGATGCCAAAAGTGGTATTTTGTTTGGGCAAAGGAAATTGACTGTGCAAAGCATTTTTTTATTTATTAAAATATAATTGTACTGTATATTGTGTTGATGTTCCAGTCATGTTTTTTATTTTTATTTATTTATTTTTTATTCTGGTCAACTATGGTTTAGTTATGCCATTAGCATTTATGGTAGACAATTAAATTATGGTTGCTTTAGGTAATGCCAGGAAATTGTCTTTAGACTTTACACCAACTTAATGGGTGCTACGCAAGAGTCAGACCCTACAAATGCATTATTTATGTTGGAGCAGAATCAAATATTATTACTGGATAAACGAATAGATTTTTTTCCCTTAAACTGCTTCCTTCTCAAACATACTGTCTGCTTTATATGTTCTTAAACTGCCTTAATTTGTATTTCGAATCAAAATGATATTTTGTAGGATGACTTACTGCATTTAACAGTATTCTTGTACTGGCATTACTCATTTCTAGTAATTATTTTAGAAAACTGTCTAAATAGTGTACTATTCAAACCTAGAAATCCGTTTGACTAAGGTTCTCTAACTGGAGCCTATTTTTAAAAGGTGCTTCCTAGAAGGCCGTGTTGTAGGGTTCTTAATATATCCTTTTCTGAAGGGTTCTTCTTGGTCTTTCTGAATCATAAACAATGCAAAACAATGTGCATGTTTGTCTGTATAAAAGGTGCTAAACAAATAAAAAATGCTACAAACAGATTTGTAATATTGTAAATAAAAGTTCACCATCTTAAAAATAAATAAATACATTTATAAATGCTCCCAAAAATTTGATTGAATGAACAGTCTCTGCCCTGGGGAAAATGATCGACTGAAACATAATGAGATGTCTAAGGTGTCACTTTAACCAGAAATAGCTAAAATGCACTGATTAAAGCAGCACAGAGCTGGTATAGTTTAAAGGCTACTGAAGAGCTCTTTTTCACTGTTATAACACGGTTGGGTAACCATATAACCTATAATGTGTGTCAGTTTTTGTGATCCAGAGCTATCGGTCACTTCACAAGTGCAGATGGTTCCCGGTAATGATGCAAGCTCTCCACGGAAAAATGTGATCATATGACCAGTGTGCTCTCTATATATTTTTACTCTATGGGTAGCACAGATTGGGAGGTGGTAGTTCAGTGGTTAAGACATTGGCCTTCTGATCGGGAGGTTAAGTGTTCAAATCCCGAGCACCACCACTGCTGGGCCCTTGAGCAAGGCCCTTAACTGCTCAGTTGTGTAAATGAGATAATTGTAAGTTGCTCTGGATAAAGGCATCTGCCAAATGCCATAAATGTAAATGTAAACCTCTGGTCTTCAAACAGTACTACTGCATTTGATGCATAATCAATAGAATTCTGATTTCCACAATGTGAATCATGCATTTCCATGATACACATCATCACACTTTTGCATCATGTCACAATGCTTTGTTACACCCCTAATTATTTATACATATACAGTGTAAACACATCAGTGTAAAGACACGACAACTGCAGAAGACAATAAAATTAGGGTCACATGGATAAAAGTATACCACTGTGTCATGACTATGACACACCTTTGGACTGACTAAAAAGGTGTTTGGAAATTTTTGCCATACTCACTTCACTGGGAGGGGCAATATTAACCCTGTAGAGCCTGGAGATGGCCTATGGTAGTGTTCCTGGAGTGACACACCTTTAAGTGATGCCCATATGAGGAGGAGACACTCTTTATGTAGTGGCATGTCACAGTCGGGGCTGGGCATTCAGTCTGCCAGTGGCCATGGTGATGACTTACATCACCCAGTGGCCCATTGTCTTTTCTCCATGATAAATGAAAAGTTGATCTTAGGATAGAATATCCACCTTTCAGAGCAAATAATACAATAGGCCCTGTACTAGGCACCACAAGGCACCACCTGTAGGGTTACCTTCCTGGAATGTAGTATGATCAGTCAATTAGGTTGACATACCATGGGAAGAAATCCCAGATTCAGCCAAAAGGTCACCTCTGACTCATCTGGCCACCAACTCATGCAAGGCAAGCTTATCACAAAGGGCATTAAGTTCTCACACTTTTTTGCTGAAGTGATCGGTAGCATACTATGACATGCTTGTCAGTACAGTAGATATTGAGGTTAGTCTTAGGCCAGAGACCTGTCCCAGAGAGACGGGGAAAACCACAGTGGACAATGTGTTGATCTTCCCATTGGTGAAGGGATTCACCTGTGATTACGCAGTCGGAGCAGTCAAACATGGAGACAGGTCAGAACTGGAGAGAGACTTGAGGGCCAGAGGCACTGGCCTCAATTGCAGCTGGTTCTGATTGCACATTGGGGTTCCACATGCCTCCTCTGCCCTGTGCTTGTGTGGGAGGCATCCATGGTGTCTGTCTCTCTCAGATGGAACACCACTACCAAGCCTAAACTTTATTTGAGAAAAGCCTTGCATCTCCAGTGAGCTAGAACTCGTGCCCTTGTTGCTTTTGATAAAAGCTTAGAAGGGGGTCTTTGCATTGTTACACAATGAAAACCTTTGCCACCACTGCTATACAAAAGAAAACATTCTGTGTCACTATCCAGTCTTTTACTGCGTCAAACATCAAATGTGTAATTTTGTTGAGAGGTATCAGTATGTAACAGAGGTAACAGCACTTCTTCTGCTTTCTTTCTCTGCTATTATGTCTTTAACCATAGCAGCATGTGTGTGGTGGGAATGGTGTCATGGGTATCACAGAGACAGTGATGTTTAACCATAAGGCACAATAATGATGCCCATATGCTTCCACAGATAGATTAATGGAGCTTGAAGAGGATGTCCATCATTAGGCCAAAGCTTTAGCCTTCAAATGCAGATGGATGGCAGGCATGTGCCAAATGATAAAAAAAAAAATAGCATAACAAGATGAACAGTATTCATTCATATTTACAGGCAACACATGGAGAGGAAATGTCTCCTGGACTGCACCCAAGAAAGCCATCAGTGGGATGTAATGATTAAACAATGTTTTAACTTCACTTATACCACAGCACAGTTAAATTCTCAAATCAGAAGGTGTGCATTGATTTTCTGTAGCAGCTCTGACAGTTGTTCTGGCTGTAACTTAAATGATAGGCTTATAATAATGCAATTGTTCTAATACTTTATTGTTCCTATAGTAACAGCTCATACATAAGGACTTCCATGGCAGATGCTCCGTCTAATAATAATAGGCTAATAATAAACACATTTTAAAAAAACATGTTGTTTAACAAAGAAAAACATGGTGAAGATTTCTGTTAGGAGATATTTGTATAACATCTATGGAAGGAATGTCAGTGGGTTTCAACACTTTGTAACAGTCAGTAAGACAGGAAAGTCTTCAGGAGAGATGATTTCTGGTTTCTCAGTCACGCAACAAGCTGTTTTTGTCTTATTAACTTCAAGAGAGAAAAAAAAGAGAGGCTGGTGAGCAAACCACTGTTTATTAGAGTTGATATAATGTAAATTATAAGAGGAACTAAGTTGTCAAAATTAAATTTAAGTTTAAACAGCTAAAAAGTGCAATGCGTCATTCATTAATAAATTAAAAATTGTAATTGTTGGGCAAATTGCTGTAGTGTAAGCAGAATAACAGATGATGAACTGTGCTATTATATGAAAAAGTGTTCTATGAATCCATTTTACTTTGCATCTGGCCATATCACACCACCCCAGGTACTAGGATTAATGTGCCACCGGGTCTCTGGGACTGTTATTATATTTTTTAGTCCCAGTTTTGTCATGACTAATTTAGCAAAATTGTTCTACACACTGACTAAATCTTATTCACATTCATTCAAGCAGATGGAGGAACTTCCAAGGATGAACACAGGTATTAAAGAAGACATCTCTCTATCTCTAGTCACAAAAAAATGTACTCATTAGCAAAGAAGGCAATGGTTTATTTTAGTTTCAGATCCACAAAGAGATTTTTGTTTAAGTCAAAGGAATTCAGTGTTTCTGAAGGCCATAATGGATGCATGGGAGTCAAATAGTCATTCAGGTTTGCACTGATAAAATATACAGGAAATACACAGAAACGTGCAGCCAAACAAGCTAGCCGTGTTACTGTTTTTAATGCCACTGTAAATGGTTCAAATGGGTGGCACAAAAGAATTGCTCTGCTTGGCCATTTTATTGAAAAGATACAGTTTGCTACAGCAGAAGTTAAGAAAAGTAGATTGGAAAGGTTGGAAAGACTGTGTGTGCCCTCGTGAGAGTGTCAATTGGTTGTTCTCTTTCTTTTTCTATTCTCTTTTCCATGGCTTTTATGCTATTTAGGCAATGTGTGTTTACTAACATTTAGGTGGCATAGCATTTTAAATTTAGTATATTCTAGATGTCCTATTTACCCATACTGTTATACCTGTATGTCACATTTAGTGTTAAATAAAATGATTAAAACAATTAAATTTACTTAAATGTGTAGTTGGAAAAAAAATCGAGTCAGTAAAGTGAGTCACAATATCATCACTTTGAAAGGAAATTAACCAGACCACACTATGATCTACCTAGGACAAGGACTTTTGTATGTTATAAAATCATGATCTATCTGATCTATATATGTGATTTACATCTGTCTCTATCCAACTGATTTGCAAATATTAGACAAACTTATGCAAAAAAAGACACTTTCATCAATCACAAATTGATCCTTCTCCAGAGTACACATATCACAAAAGGACATGTCACTGTAGCAAATAATCTGCTTAATGAATTTTTTCACACGAAAGACAAAAGGGCTTTGGTATATCTTTGAATACAAAAAGAAAAGTTGCTGACAAACTGTTATTAAATGTCACTGCAAAAGAAGGAGCAGCACAGAACCAGATAACAAGTCATACCCTTTGCATCATGGGCAGCATAATAAGTTCAACATTCATTACGTTAGCAATGATGAATGCCTTTTGTGGCCATTTGCTAATACTTACATTCAAAATCTAAAATGATGGACTAAGCATGCTGCAATTCTCTCATGCTTATACAACACATACAATATGTCACTATAAGGAAAACTAATTAAAACCATTAAATCAGTTGTCATTTCATATTATTATTATTATTATTATTATTGTTGTTGTTGTTGTTGCATATGAAAAAGTTTTAATATTTAATAATTTCCCAGTGCCAGTTTTCAAAGAATGTACATTGGTGAAATATGTTTAGAGTAAAGGAAATAGCCACAAATATTACAGTACCATTGGTGGTGGTAGTGTCATAGAAAATACTACTTTCTTGTTCTGTCTTTGAAATGTCCTTTTTTCCAGAAAACTGTACAAATTAGTTGTACTGTTATTAGTAATTCTGTAGTTTCATTCTGAGAGTATGTTGTGTACACCACATGATTTTCTTTTTTATTCTCTTTTTCCCTTTAGTTGTTAGTTTGAGTTGGAAACTTGAGATGTATGCTTGATAAGTTTCATTTTCATCCATAGTGAAATGATATTATGCAGAGATGATAAAGAAGACCCCTATATTGACCATGAACTGACCAAAATGACAGTTGAATTAAGGTATCTTTTATATTCACACATATTATAGTTTGACTGCATTTTAGGGGATTGTTCTAGATTATCTTTAAAATTGTCCATTTTTAAAATTGTCGGTTTGCTAGGTTGATCTCCTAGCAGCATTATAATTATGTCTGCCCTATTCCTGGTTAGTCTATGTGTAAAGCAGACCAGAAAGCACAGATATAATATTAATCTTCAGATCACTTGTATATTATTGTGGTTTGTGATACATTTCATAAACTGTCTTATACAGTACACTGCTGTGTTTTAAGAAACATAAATCTGAACATAATCAAGGTATTTCTGTGTGCTAATTATAAAATGAAAGATAACAGACAA